AAAAAAAAAAAAAAAAAAGTTTTCAAAACATTCAGAAAAAAAACTATATTATGGAGAAACATAAACTAAACAACATTTGCCTGGGCACTGCATCCAATTTATTTACCAAAGTTGAATTAAAAATCAAATACAGAAAATAAACACTATGATAAAAATAAGAAAAAATAAAAAGAGAATTAAAATGAGTGAGTGTGCCAGCACCTTTCGACACCGCCATCTTTGTCGATTTTTAATTATTGTTTGGCATTGACAAATTCCCTGAAAATTAACAGATATGTAGTTTACATAATCAATAACTCATTAAAAAGTTTCAAAAAATAATAAAATGTTTTAGGCCCCGAAATAAAGTAAAAACAAAAAGTTAAAAGTGAAAAAAAACAAAATAGTAAGTGGGCGAGCACGTTTTGAAATCCCCATCTTTGACGATTTTTAATGTTTTTTTGGCTTAGCAGAATGGCTTCAAAATTTATAGGCGTGTAGGTTACATCATAGAGAACTGAGAAAAAAAAAAATCAGAAAACAGCACTTATTTGTAGGCCCCGAAATATTTTTTTGCGGGGGCCGAACCTGAAGGTGTTCGGCCCCCGAACGGGACCCCGAACGCCCGAGCGTTTGGGGGCCAGCCCGGGGCCCCCCGAACGTTCAGTCAGGTAACCCTGTCTGTACCTTTAATAGTAGTAAACGTATGAGCTCGATGCAGAAAAGATCCTATAACAGCCATCTTTTGCTGCCTACTTGAAAAGAAGGAGAAGTGTTGAATACTCTGGAAAATCACCTTTTCTTCCTTCTAGGTTAGTTGGTTTTTATGTGTCGCTGCACATCCCAAACCCGTTCTGTCCTCAAAAACTTTCAAAACGCAGCCCAAGAAATTCCAAGTTGATCCTTCACTCATTTTTTTCAGGATGAGGTTTGAATCATAGCACTGTTGGAATCTCTCAATCAGTTGCTGTCCCGTCTTCCGTGACTCTTCGGAGTTTTCCTTGCAGATGACGAAAACCGAAACATCGTCCATCAGTCGGAAGCCATCGAAAATCCTCCGTTGATCCCCAAAGAAGTGAGAAAGGAGTACTCGTTGAAAGCGCATAGTAAACAAGCCAAAGCGGGACTTGATGATTTTCCTATTGGAATCCCGACCTTTTGTTGCAAAACACAACCGCCGGCCATCACGAAAGTGTTTGTTAGTTCAAACCGAACGAAGTCCACAATCTTCCTGAAGGTAATTACACTCCATCCTTCCTCCCCGGTACCTCGTACAGCTTCGCATCCTTACCACGCCTCTTAATGACAACCCCATGAAAGCCTTCACACATCCAATAGTCAGTTACCCAGTCTAGAGCACACAAAATGGAGGAATGAGGGACATTAGAGAACATTTCTTTAATATCAAAAGAAGCACCAACCAAAAACTCATCTTTCTGTAGTTTCTTATTGACCGATCCAATCTCTTTGACTAGTTCTATCGTTCGTTTTAAGTTAAGATGAAAGTTGGCCGGAAGTTGCCACAGTAGTTGACCCAACCCTAGAAATCTTCCTTCCTCCTGCTGCAGCATTCTCAGGGAACGAGGGGCAGATCGGACGCCACCTCGTGATGTCCTTATGCTTTGGTATACAATAAGCCCGTCCTAACGTACCTTTCGAGTTCCACTTCGCCACCTGACACAGTTTCAATTTCTGATAATACAACTTACATTGGGAAAGAATTGTCGACTCTGCTTCATCACATACTAAGAAAGAGGGATTACTTAAGAAGAGTTTGCTCATACCAGCATGGTACACCGTCGGACAGCAGACTAACGTATCGCTTGCGTTATGATCGATAGGGACACATACTAATCTGTTAAAGAACGGTTTCAGAAGCTTAAAGTTCTCCTCACAACATTCCTTCAAGTCTAGAAGGTTGTCCAGAGATCGAAGAGAGGTCGAAGGTGAAGGAATAGAGGAAATGAAAGAAGTCTCAGTAGAGATCGAGTTAGACGAGTTAAGACAGAATGTCAACGCATCATTAGAGAGAGCACCCAGAGGGAGAGCTGGAAGAGAGCGCAGAGCAGAGCAGGAAGATAAGATTTGCTTACGCAGGTTATGCACACAATCAACACGAGAAGGTTTCAGCATGTTCTTCGAGTTACATAGCCATTGAGGGAAGAAGGCGCAGTCATTAACTCTCAAGGATATATGCCCATCTACCCATGGCAGCGCGGAATCGACATCGTCGCAACCACACAGTACCTCAGATGCTTGCGAAAAAATCCTAAAATTGTGTAGACAATCTCCCATAGACCGATTTCGACACCAAACAATTCTCAAACGTCGTATTAGTAACTCTTTCCAAACATTCGGGATGCTTATTGTCCAATCAGTCGGACTCCTAATTGTCGAACACGCGCCTTGTTGTACTTAGGATCATACACCAATCGAATCACCAATCGCTGTCGTACATGCACATTGTGGCAGGAGATGCTGATGCAGCCAAGACTTTGAAGAAGAATGAAGTCTGTGAGGTGGCAAAGTTAAGAGAAGAAGTTGACAGCCTTAAGAAGATGAAGTTTGCTGCCATTCAACCTGCTATGGCTACGGTGAATGCGACAGATACTTCGGTGCGCCTCCAGCATGAGTTTGACGAAGCGAAGAGACGAGCGCAAGATGCTAACGAACGATGGATCGCAGCTTTAGAAGAGCAGGTTCAGACTCTGAAGCACATCACGGAGGAAGCGGTTAGCGAGGCTGAAGGATGGAAACTGGAAGCGCAAAGCCCTGGAAATAAACGCGGGGGTATCGCTATCGGGGTGACACCTAGCCCCCAGATCCGGACAAGGCCAAGGTGTGCTCCGGTCCCGACTCCAGTGAACACAAAAAAGAAGCAAGTGGAAGACTACAGTGAGTTGGTGGCACGTCACTTCTGAAAGAAGTCGACCTTCTGAAAGAAATGAGGATTCGAGAGTTCAACAGAAGACGAGAGGTGGAACAAGCTAACGATAAGCTGAGAGAGGAAAAGGATAAAGAAATTGAGAGGCTGAAGGAAGCGTTGAGCAAGGTGCAGGTGGCTTCAGCGGAAAAACAGAGAGCGTCAAGAACAAAAATGCATTAGACGGCTGCTACTGACCTTCGGCAACGTTTGGATGTCGACGTGGAAAAAATTGTCGTGTGTTATGAGAAAGAGAAAGGTGCGGTAGCTTCGGTGGGAAATGAGGCACTTGCGAATGATCGAGAAGCCTTTCTGCAAGGGTGTAGGCGCTATCTGAAACCACTCAAGAAGGAGGCCGTGTTGGCAATTTGTGGCGAAGAAGGTGTTACGTACACAACTCTTGACAAGACCAAAGAAGAAATCGCACAGCTACGGACACAAAGGGCATGCGACGAGATACCACGAGGGAACCAGAAAGGCGTTGTAATCGAAGACACCGTAATCTACAGCGAGTCTGTTTTTCGTGAAAAATTCGAATTGCACCAAAAGCGAAAACAAGCTTGTCAACCCCCCAGTTGTAGAGCTCCTTCCGGGTCCCAGCTTGACTTAACAATTTAACTAGTGGTTCCTTATAAACCAGTGCTCTTCGAAAAAAAGGCGTAATATCCAAGAAGACGATAGTCACCCCGTCAGCCAACCAGTTACGACTTTTCCTCAACTGCCCGCTCCCAAAAACGCAGGAAATGGTGGAAGCTCCGTACAATCGCTTCACAAGGCTCCACTTATCAGCTAGAGTATTACCACCCTTGCACGTAATCACACATCTATTAATGTTTCTATCTTTGCAATAATCCAGGATACGCAACAAACTGGAGGATATCAAGCCGAAATCAGAATGAAATTCTAACAAAAATCCTAATAACTTCCCATCAATCTTACGACCCCGCTGCTTCTTTTTCTTCCATCTCTCACGAAGACCTTTCCTGCTTCTTTTGGATCTACATGGTTTATCACGAGCGTTCAACGAAGCCCCACTATTCCTAATAAAAAACTTTTCCACACCCAGTAGATCCTCATTACCGCACATATGGATCGGAATAGCAACATATCGATTCACACCACACCTTCTCAGCCACCGATATAATTTCTAATTGCGATCTCCGTTACTAACCAGGGAAGGATTACAAACCCTATACACATGTTCTCTCCATCGGGTGTGAAGATCTCTGGTCGTAGTCCCAGTATAAGTGTGCCTACACCAGGGTGAAATAATTACGTAGACTAAGGGTCCATTGCAACGATCGAAATCATATCCTTGTGAAAGAAGAGAAGTAAAACACTCAGTGAACTTCACCGCCCAGGGTATTTGGCCTGCCAAAGTCAAACCAATCACCGTGAAACACAGCAAGGAGTTCAGAAAACGGCATCGTAGCCTTTCAATAGACAGTCCACGAATATTAGAGCAGTGTCGTGCAAGTTTCCATAAGTAAGTCGCGTCGGGGACAAACCCTTCCCCAATTTGCTTATAATGATCCTCCCGATCTTTCTTATCACGCTGTCTCCTATCTTCTTCTTTCTTTTCTCGCTTCACTTTCTCCTCTTCATCCGATTTTTTTTTCTCACGTTCTTCTTCCGCGTCATGGCGCATTTTCAGTCTTGCGACAATCTCTTCCAATGACTCAATGCGCTTGGTATTACTCGGACCTGTCCATCCTCCTCGATTGTACTGCGAGAAGCTATTATTACTAGGAAAAGTTAGAAGGGGCTGAGAAGGGACAGGGACAATCGCAGTAGTAGGGTTAGAGACAGGCGCCTGCCGTGGTGGATGTGGACAAAACCTCTGAATGTGGCCTGCTTGGCCACATTTATAGCAAGAACGAACGCAGTTATTATTGGTAGCCATGGCGACTATGATCAAGCAGAATGAAGTACTCGAAGCCACTCAGTAGTAGTATGACCTCTACACTGGTTACTCCGTGGATAAAAGTTGTCAGATGACAATCGGCTTGAAACAATAACGTCAATGCACCAAATCAAACAGAGATGGATGGATGAGGATAGGAGAACCACACCAAACGAAGCAAGAAAGGAAAAAGAAAGGGGAGGGAGAAGAAGAAGGACGAGGATGATATTTGAAATCCCGAACACGACTTAGTTCCAAAAATGAAGTGGTAAACAGCGGAACGTACGGCGAGTGACCCGACCAGTTTCGACTGGCCGCCGTGACCAGTACTCGTCAAGGGTCTTGGTTTAGTTTGGTAGGTAGTCAACTATATATCCTAGAAAAGAATAGTCGCGTCTTAAGTGTCGTAGTTATCTAGGAAAATATCCCGTAGTCTGTAAAAATGACTAAGTTCATTGAAAAATTATTACTTAAACTAACTTATACTAAGTTGCTGACTAGAAACCAACCAGATCCCACTTCAACGGACAAGAAAAGGACGTCGTTACTTTGCGTAGGTTCTCGCATCCGAGTCGGATCCTATCGAAAACTCCAAAACAAGAGAACCTGACCACAGTTTAAAACCTCAACAGAAAATAACAAGTACCTAATATTCAATACCCATATCTCAAACAAACGGTCTTTTCAACTCAAAGCCTATTTAGTATCTGTTGTCAACAGTCTGAAGCCACCAAAAGAAGGTCCTACGGTGGACCACGTTCCCTCAGCGTTTTACTGCCATTCTTCCTATTCGTATCCGCTATCAACAGTTCGAAACAAACGAAAAAAAGGGTCCTACAGCGGACCACGTTCCCCCAACGTTTAAGTGAAGTGGTGAAAGGTCCGAAGACCCTGAAAACCACCTGTTTAGGCAAGTTGCATCCTGAAGTGGTGAAGGGTGTCCTGAAGTGGTGAACTCGTGAAAAATCCGAAGACCCTGAAAACCACCTGTTTAGGCAGGCCGCATCTTGAAGTGGTGAAGGGTGTCTTGAAGTGGTGACGAAAAATACGAATGTTGTTAACCTCCTCTAAAAACGATAAGAGAGTAGCGTAAAGATACATGTGGAAACCACTGGCTACTGTTGACCAGGGGTTCATTGTGAAAGCAACATCAAAATTAATATGTCATTCTAGAGAAAATGAAGGATTAGGCATCTTGGGTCTGATACAATAAAATGTAGCATTGTTGGTCAAGTGCGCGATAGCGGCAATGTGTGGAGATGCAGATAAGTATTGGTTGAAGTTAGCATAATACATCCTGATGCAGAAATAGTCGCTGAAGGAGGGCGCTCACGTCTGACTATGCTTGATGATCAAATCCTACTGCAAATAAAAAACAAAGATCCCGGGTCTGACACAACATTTTCCTAACTTGGAATAGAGTACGCCCACAAATCTTAAAAGAGTCAAAAGCCAAAAGTGAAATTTTGAGTCAAATATTGTTCGGAAATGACTTTATCAAGGTCTAAGAGACAGATCTGATTGTAGCAGATGGAAGTCCAAGGTTATTTGGCAGAGCCTCGATTGAAAATTGGGTCATTTAGATACAGGACGTATGAAATGTAGATGAGCCAGACTGGCTAACGGTGGATAGCATGAAAGCGAAACGGCCAAGACTCCGCCATGTGGAACAAAACTACGGAATAATCGAAAAAGCATTGCCCGCACACTGGATACGACTCATACGAACCCTATGAAAGAATAACGAACTCAATGCTGGAATTTAGGTAGTGGACCTAGAAAACAGGGACAAGTTTTGAAAAATATTGGGTCCGGATCTTAGGACAGGGACAAGGATACGGATATGGAGGAGGAGACCGGGGAAGAACCTTTTGTTCCTTACATTTGAGGAAAAAGAGACGGTGGAGTCAACCCTGAAGCTGGAGGAAGTAAGAGTGTTTGAGGAAAAAACCAAGAATAGATCCCCCTGCCAATTGGTAGCAGATACACAGGATAGGATGGTAGTAGAACCAGTACAGTACGGTTGGTCCCTTGCGTCCTAGGGAGCGATAGTACCACTCTACCAGTATAAAACAAAACTTGGCGTTCGGATTCAGCAAGAGAAGGTAGAAGCCAATAACAATAGCAATGAGTAGACTTGCAGATCTGCAAACTTCGTCGGTAATAGAGGCTGATCTTTTCAGACTGTGGAAAACACTGAAGAGAATACCTTCTCAGAGACAAACGACAATACAACGCCTTCAATCCTTGCAAATCACCCCTTCAGCCTGTGGCCTAACACAAGGAGGATAAACCTCTCAGCTAGGTGCGTTCGGTGCAATTGGGGCTTGGAGTCGGCCTTCCATCTGTGGTTGATATGTCCTTTATCTGACAGAATCTGGGAGTGGTGGAAGAAATTTTGGAAGAACACTAAGATGGAGTTCCAGTGGGAGGACGACTTCCTACTTTTTGAAAAACTCCATACTAAAGACAACTTTGGCATGGGGATAAATTACATTGCTCTTTGTTGCAGACGTATTGTCATGAAGACGATTTAGGAGACCCAAAATGCGAAGATATTCTAGCATGAATTGATACTGATCGAACAGACTATTAACCAGATAAAGTCCAACATCAGGTTGACGGTCCATGCGGATTGAAAAAGAAAAAATCGCACCTGGTTCTGTAAAACGTGGGTGAAGAGCAATTTCACTAAGATATCTACAAATGGGAAATTGGAGTTAGCCCTTTGGTTATGTAGTGATAATAATATAGGTAGGGCTGGGCCCTGAGCCTCAAGTGTAAGGGGCTGTCAGAAGTCAGGAACTGCCTTCGATCTAATTTTGGGCGGAATTTAGGGGCCACATTAGATCTTAGCGAAACTTTAATTAAATGATTCGTCTAATGTTGGGGGAGGTGTTTGGAAGTAGGAATAGATAGGAAGTTGGGCAATTTGTTAGGATTTGTTGAACCTTCATGTGCACTAGTTAAGCGCCCGCGGTGCGGGCCATGCCTGCAAAAATAAGAAATGTTGTAGGCAACAAGACACAAAACACTCACATTAACTCAAAGAGACTTAAAAAAAAAAAAAAACGAATCATGGGGAAATAAAAAATAGCCTAAAACTGGAAACGAAGTCTTAGTTAAATTGACGAATTAAAAAAGTGACAAATTGAAGAAAAAAAAAAAAAAGTAAGAGGAAGGG